TTCTCTTTCTCTTTCTTTTTTCTTTCTCTTTTTCTTCTTCCTCCCTCCCTCCCTCTCCCTCTTTCTTTCTTTCTCTTTTCTTGTTCTCCCTTCCTTTCTTTCTTTCTCTTTCTCTTTCTTTTTTCTTTCTCTTTTTCTTCTTCCTCCCTCCCTCCCTCTCCCTCTTTCTTTCTTTCTCTTTTCTTGTTCTCTTTTCCTCTCTCTCTCTCTCTCTCACTCACACACACACACACACACTCCAGCAAAATTTCTCAGGCGACTTCTTCAGCTTGAAAAACCCAAAACCCACTGACACTAACCAGGGCTCTTAAGCAATGAAAAAAATAATAATAACCCAGCTGCACTCAACCGCAGTCACACAACACAAAGCTTGCTTAACCGCGACACAAAGAGCCCTGCCCCTTTTTATCTGACACACAACTTGTTTATTCCCTTGCAAGAGTTTGAGAAAGGGGAGAGAGAAAAAATATATTGTTTGAGCAGATCCAATGGGCCGGAATGAAATGGATTTGCTGATTCATGTGAAAGGCTTAAAGAGATGGTGCATGTAACATCCAGCTCATTGGTGGCAAATCAACCACAAATGCTGGTTGTTGCTGTTGTTTTCTTTCCAAACTTGGCACCACAAAAGGATTAAGCCAGATTTTTTGGAAACCCGTTTCAGGCTTTGATAGAAGAGAATGTCAGAGAATATAAACTACATGATATTTGGAGAGAAAGGCACAGAACAAGAAAGCAATATACCTTTTATTCGAACCCCCATCAGCCCCTATCAAGAATCGACATGGCTGGGATCTCATCTGGTCTATGTAAACAATTAGACGAAATTGAAATAGAAGCAAATGAGTGGGCAGATCATAATCCAATGAAATTAAGATGGAAAGGTCAAAGAAGGGGGGAAGGAAGGAGGAAAGGAAGGGGGAAAGGAAGAAGGAGAGAAGAAAGGAGGGAAGGAAGGAAGGAAGGAAGGAGGGAAGGAAGAAAGGANGCGCTAGGGATTTGAACCGCCGAACTGCCGACCTCTCTGATCGACAAGCTCAGCGTGTTAGCCACTGAGCCACCGCAAGAGAAAGAAAGGAAGAAAAAAGAAAGAAAGAGTGAGAGAGAGAGGAAAGAAAAAAAGAAAAAAAGGAGAGAGAGACAAAAGGAAGGAGAGAGAGAGAGAGAGAGAGAGAAAACACATGGCCAGCAAGCCACTCCCATCAGGTCACATGGCCGGCAAGCCACTCCCACAAAGGAGGCCACACCCACAGAGTAGCTTCCAACAATTTTTGAAACCCACCACTGCTGTACTCCGAAAGGGGTGCTCATACCTTTGAAGCCGTCTTCATCCAACATGATTGTGTAGTCTTCGGGAGTCTCGGTTAAGCTGAAAAATCTACACCTGGGGAAAGAGGAGAGCCCTGAGTCAGGTTTATGAACTCGTTCCGTGAAATTTGTACACAAATTGGAAAAAATCGCCCCCAGGCACCCCTAGGCAGAATTCGAATTAAGGCCCCATCCCCCCCAGGATGTTTTTCTGTACCTCTATCCGGAAACACCGAGATAAGACAGCTTGGTCTAGTGGTTAGGACACCAGGCCAGGGGTGAAATCCTCCGAAGTCTGCTACCGGTTCGTTGAGTCTGTTACCGAGTTACCGAACCAATAGCATTTTTTTTACTACCGGATTGAGTGACCCAGTCCGAACCGGTAGCATTTCACCCCCCTGCACCAGGCCGCAACTTACCACTGTCATTCCTGCCTCACTTTTGGTCGTTAAGTCAACCTCCATTCTTTTTTAATGCAAATTTTTCTATATCGGTCTATATTTCTAAAACATTTACATCCCTGGTTTGAAGCGCCTGCATTTTGCATAAATGAGTCCCCGGTTTTGAAAGAGGAAGGGGAGAGGAGAAAGGAAAGAAGAAAGGGAAAAGGAGAGGAAGTAAGGGAGGGGTGGTAAGAAGTAGGAGAGAGGGTAGGAAGGGGAAGAAGAGAGGAGGAGTGGGGGAGAGGGAGGGGGAGAGAGAAAGGAGGGGAGGAAAGAAGAAGGTGGAGAAGAGAAGTGGAAAGGAGACGGAGGAAGGTTGTTGTAAAATAAGATGGTTGTATAGGATGGTAGTAAAGCTACCCCAATTATATTTTTAAACTTCTAAATGAATTGTGATAAATGTTAAATATTAACAGTACTCATGAGAATGTATATTTGTGAATGTATATATGAGAAATAAAAATAAAACTTTTTAATAAAAAGAAATGAGTCCCCATGTTTTATTCTACCTGTTCATACAAAGGCCAACCAATCACAGATCTGATCAGGTCCTCAGTCCATTGAGAGGAAGGTATGTTTATCTTTCCAATGTGACAAGTCCCTTGGCCAAAATAAGATATTTTTTTAAAAAATAAAGATCTTTAAAAGGCTTTGGGGCATCAAAGCAGATCCCCCAGAAGCGTTTCAACTAGGGGTGTCCAACTTTGGCAACTGTGGACTTCAACTCCCAGAATTCCCCAGCCAGCAGAGATCCACAAGTCTTAAAGTTCAAGTTTGGAACACCCTTGATTTAAAATCTACATTTTCCCCTCTGAAAAGTGGAGAACACCCTGATTTTCAACCATTCCATTTCTTTTCTTTCTTTCTCTTTCTTTCTTTCTCTTCCTTTCCTTTCTTTTTTCTTCCCTATCTTCATTTTCTTTTCTTTCTCTTTTTCTTTTCTTTCTCCTTTCTTTTTCTTTCTTTTTTCTCTCTTCATCCTTTGTTTCTCTTTTCTTTTTCTTTCTGTTTTCTTTCTTTGTCTCCCTTCCCTCCTCCTTCCCTTTCTTTCTTTCTTTCTTTCTTTCTTTCTCTTTCTTTCTTTATTTGTTATTTTTCTTTTTTCTTTCTTTGTCTCCCTTCCCTCCTTGTTCCCTCTCTTTCTTTCTTTCTTTCTCTTTCTTTCTTTCTTTCTCTTTTCTTGTTTTTTTCTTTTTCTTTTCCTTTCTCTCTTTTTCTTCTTCCTCCCTCCCTCTCTCTTTCTCTTTTCTTGTTCTCTTTCTTTTTCTTTCTTTCTTTCTTTTTTCTTTCTCTTTTTCTTCTTCCTCCCTCCCCCTCTCCCTCCTCCTTCCCTTTCTTTCTTTCTTTCTTTCTTTCTTTCTTTCTTTCTTTCTTTCTTTCTCTTTCTTTATTTGTTATTTTTCTTTTTTTCTTTCTTTGTCTCCCTTCCCTCCTTGTTCCCTCTCTTTCTTTCTTTCTTTCTTTCTTTCTTTCTCTTTTCTTGTTTTTTCTTTTTCTTTTCCTTTCTCTCTTTTTCTTCTTCCTCCCTCCCTCTCTTTCTCTTTTCTTGTTCTCTTTCTTTCTTTCTTTCTTTCTTTCTCTTTTCTTGTTCTCCCTTCCTTCCTTTCTTTCTTTCTCTTTTTTTCTTTCTCTTTTTCTTCTTCCTCCCTCCCCCTCTCCCTCCTCCTTCCCTTTCTTTCTTTCTTTCTTTCTTTCTTTCTTTCTCTTT